TATAAAACGAGAGCGAGGCTCTCTACTTTATCCCGTCTTATTACTATAACGAGTTTCTCGACTTTCGACTTTGCTTTATCCTTATCTAGGATCTTCTATTAGTCGTCGTTTAATAGTACAATTTTAAGCGTCTTAAAGAGGGCTCGGATCGCGATTTAAACTATATAAGCGAGGTAGGGAAACTTCTATAGGGATATAACTAGCAACGACGTCGGCTCCGATTTAATAGGGCTAGAGATATTACTAGGCTCCTCTTTATCGTTATTATCGTACGTATTATCGTACGTATCCGGAATCGTAGCGAGCTTAATATTCGGAAGATTAAGCTAGATTATAGACCTTATAATCTCCTCTACGTACTCGACCCTATCGATATAATTAGTAATTTTAAAGATATATACGAGTGAATTATATATACAACGCCTTATATAATGTTCGATTATTACTAGCGTTGTCCGTAGTAATCGAGATTAGTTTCGTTATTACGCTAACCCTGTCTATTGCTATATAGACAAGCTTCGCTATATCCTTACTAGTATAGGAACCTAGAATTTTAGGGAATCCGATTATAAGTTCCTAGAGTTTCTAATCCGAATTAATAAAGTATAGTATAATCGAGAGGAAGGAGGCTCTTATAGTCCGGCTTAACTAGCTATCGATAGTAATAGCTACTCGGCGAGTATTACGGAGGATCTCCCGAATGTCGTCTAACGTAGCCTCTTTATTCTTTTCGAATATAATACGCTAGGTTATCGCGCCGAGAAATAGGGGAGGGTAGTTTATAAGATATAGGTATATCTTCTATATAGACTCCCTTTCGTAGAAGTCTTCCGGAAGACCGTTTATAGCTAGCATTTCGTTTGCTAGTTGCTTAAAGTCTTCGGGGGAGAAATCGGTAGCCTTTAATCCTAGAGCTTCCTTAAGCGTAGCCTATAATAATTAGCTAGATCTCTACGGTTAATTAAAGTAGCCGGAATCTATAGCCGGAATCTGTAGCCGGCAGCTATAGCCGGCATTTTAGAAGACGTACCTCTTTCTAGAACGCTATATCTATATTAACTCTCCTCTCTCCTTAAGATTCCCGACACTGTTTAGAATAGAGATAGTTCGTAGGCGATAAGTTCCTATCCCCTAGTTTCGGGTATTTTAAGATTAAACTATAGAAGTTATAGACAATTACTAGTTAACCTTTAAGTCGAGAAGTCGTATAACGGTATAATGCCCCCTCTATAAAGAACTTCTAGAATATATCCGTTCGCTCCTTACTCCCCTATTATATCGAGTACTTCTAGAGTTTATACTCCTTTAAACGTAAGTATAAAAGGAACTATATCTTATAGACCTATTAATTAAACTGCTCTATATACTCGGGTTTCTAAAGATACGCCTAGCTAGCCTTTTCGAAGATTTCCGGGTTAATACTCGATATTCTTATATCTCCGAACAACCTTCTACTTAGACTCCGTAAAGGTAAGGACTAGGTAGTAGTACCCTATAATAAATTCCTACTACTAGGATTCGGAGAGGATAAATCTAGCCCTAATCGTCGTCTAGGACTCGATAGGCTCGAAGGTAAGTATACGACCTCCTCTCGACGTTATCGCAATCTCGCTCGTATACTAGACTGTTTCGACTTTCGACTATCGTCTCGTTATTACCCTTCCTAGTATAGCGCCTAGTATATATACAATATCGGTCGGTATGTTTTAAGGTTTCGTACGGTAAGGTAAGGACTTAGGAGTAGTAGATATATACTAGTAGCTATAGGGAAACACCCTTTCTTTTATAGTATCGTATCGTTAGGAATAGCTAGGTAGTAAATAGCTAGCTACCTTTTTTTTGTTTCCTAGCTACCTAACTACTAGATTTTTTTTCCTAGCTACCCTAGCTAGCCTAACTACTAGAATTTCTTTCCTAGCTACCCTAACTACCTAAATTTTGCCTTCTATATAGCGGCTCTCTCCTACTAACGGAACCGAGCTACTATACCTAACGAATCTAAGCTCGTTTTTAGTCTTAATCTATCCTCTTTCGGTATAAGATACTCGATAAGTAAATACTTAGGCCGAGTCTAACTACGAAACCTAAGACTAACTAATAGCTCTATTAACTAATCCTAATCCTCGAACTCCTTCCGCTTCTTAGTAAAGACCTTAAAGAGCGCTCGAGCTTCTTCGGGTACCTACGGAGTAGTCGAGATAAAGCCGTATCGCTAAAATAGGTAATCCTTCGGAGGCTTATATAGAGATTTAGAGAATTCTAACGCTAACCTATCCTACTAGTAGCTTAGATTCCGGATATAAGCCCTCTCTACCTTAGTAAAGATTTTATATAGTAGTAGTACTCTGCCTTCGAGAAACGCTTTCTATTTACCTATTAGTATCTGCCGGCTACGAACGCCGGCTATATATACCGAGTATAGAATAATTACCTATACCCCTTCCTCCTATAGTAACACTTCTACCGTCCCTAGATACCTAGCCCCGATCGCATTAATCGTAAGCTACTTTGCCTTTATAGACGCAAAGGCTTCGCTCTAATACTAATAAAGAGACTTCTACTCTATATCGAGGATATAAAGACGACTAGTCTCGATTCTAATCCTTACTAGCTTTTCGTAGTAGCTTTAACTATAATTTTCTAGATTGATAGGACTTATACCTTAGCCCTTTACTAGTATCTCGTCTCTTTAACTGTACTCGATCTACTCCTAGCGCTTATCGTCTATAGCGTTAGGCCCTAAGACTATACCTATTACTAGATCGACGTATAGTATCTCCTCGCTTTTTTTAGTTCCTTTATTCGTAGTATTAAGCTCTATCGCGGTATCCTAAACTCTAGTATTGTTGTTCTCGGCTATCTAAACATCTCCGTTACTATCGGTCGTATCGATAGAGGTAGCGGCTATAGGTCTAAATGCTATTAGTTAACGTGTTAAAGAAAAATATACCGGCTATAGCTGCCGGCTACGGCTGCCGGCTATAGCTACTAGCTACGGCCGCTAGCTAGATTAACTTACGCTACTAGAACTTTACGCTCGAAAACTAGCCGCAATTCTTTCCTCCTCTTAGCCTTCTCTTAGGTTGTCTTCTTATTCCAACCTTTACTTTTTTCTATAGGCGCTAGCTATCGATAGAATGCCTTATTCCGCGCCTTTCTTCTCTTATCCTTAGCTCTTTTATCCTTATCTATCTTCTCCTTTCTCTCGTAGTCTTATACAGAATTCTTCTTCGTAGAGTACTCCTCTTTAGTCTTACGCTTTTTAGTTAGACGCTTAGGCAAAACAAACTCGCGGTCTTTAGTTCTATCTTCTGTTTAGCGCGGGGCGCGCTTCTCTCTTACTATTATAAGGGAAAGGGGCGGGGGCGCAGCGTATAGTAGTTATTGTCGGTATAGGTATAGAGGAAGAAGTTAAAAGTATAAGAATATCGCGAAGCCCTAATTGTTGCCGCCTACGTAACGTTATATAGGTAAGCTTTCGCAACTACGGCAACTACGCCCCGGTAATAGTAACTACGCCCTAGCAACGGCAACTACGCCCTAGCAACGGTAACTACGCCCTAGCAACAGTAATAAAGCGTAGTAAATACAACCTAGTAACTATTATAGCCGGCAATCGTAGCCGGCAGTCGAATAAGAGTGTCTTTATAGCAAAATGTTACGGTTACTCGCGACAGATCGTTAAGTGACTTCTTATTACGTACAAGCCGAGGCTTCTTTAGAGAGGCTAATACAAGCGGGAGGCAGAGACAGAATAATTGGTATAAAGGTAATTCCAATTAGTAAGTAGGTAATATAAGTTAAACGCCTCGAGCTATAAGGGCATTCCGGCGTTCCTAAATACAAAGGAGATATCTTGTCTATAGTCGTAAGCGACGTAAGCGACGCTGTCGCTCTCGACCGCTCCTATCGCTCCTAGTAAGATAGAGCGACAGCTTAGCCTACTAGTCTTAGCGTCGCTCTAAGATTATATAAGGACTCTAACTAATTAGATCCGTAATACAAAACTACGCCCTAGTAACGGCAACTACGCCCTAGTAACGGCAACTACGCCCTAGCAACGGCAAAAGACCGTAGTAAATGTAACAGAGTTACTATTATAGCCGGCAATCGTAGCCGGCAGTCGAATAAGAGTGTCCTTATAGTAAAACTAATACAGTCTCTAGTTCAAACTAGGAATCTATATAGTTCGAAAAAACCAAACCGGAACTAGGGAGCTAGTTCGCCGCTAAGAAACCAAACTATATACGTTTGGTAGTTCGGAAACCGAACCACTGCGGGGTCTATTTATCGTTATTAGAGCCGTTTAGTTAGGAATTTATATCTTTTTATAGTATACTAAGTTTATTTAAATGTTTAATCTATTATTATTTAGAAATAGGAATTAAACAAGATTATATAATGCTAATAGAGAATAGTAACGGTTTAGGGAATCAAGGTAACGTAGTAAATAATAACGGTTTAGCTAACTAAAGAAATGGAATAAATAATAACGGTTTAGCTAATTAAGGCAACGTTGTAAATAATAACGGTTTAGGTAATATTCCTAAGGATATCGCTTATACTAATAGTTTTACAAGTATATAAGAAACTACAGTTAGAGATTCGGTAATAGCTAACGGTTATAACAATATAGTTAGTCATTAACCTTACGCTACTAATTTAGCTAATAGAATAGCATTGCTTAGAAATAGGGATTATTATTCTTAAAATAGCGAGACATTATGTCTATAAGACAATCAATATATACGTGTTATAAATACAGTTTTTAGACCTAATTATAACCCTAGCCGTATGTATCCTAATAGTCGTTAATTTATAGCCTAATTAAAAAGATTGCCTTAATTATATTAAATTAAGATTTTATAATAATATAATTAAAAAAAAACGGGTTAGCGCCGGGTTAGTTAGGCGCCTTATTTAGGTTAAGGATTTTCTATATTGTAATTATAGTAACCTAATATTTAAATTAATATATTTTCTTTTAATATTACCTATAAGCCTTTATAGCTTAACGGTAGAGCGGAATACTGTTAATATTATAATATATGTTTAATTTATATTAAGGGCTAAAAATCAATAAGTAATAGCTTTGTATATGTTTATAATAAAATTATAATTCATGCGAGCATAGGCTTAATAAATTTAACTATTCGATTTAAGAAAAATTTTAAAGAGAATATATAACGCATTTTACCTAATTGAAATACAAAACCTAAATTTAATACTACTACATTTCTTTTATCGCATCTATAATTCTATTCCCTATAATATGTTTTATTTTACCGTATATCTATATAACTATAGTACTAAAATTATTTATATGTAAACTTTCTACGAAGCGAGCTATATTATTACGAAGCTTTAGGAATAGTTATAACAAACTTCAACCGTTGCTAGAATGTTTAGTAATAACTAATTCATTTAATGTTATAGATACGATTCTAGATTAGTAAAGTACCTTTGTTTTAGATAATATTCTATACCTATTTTCAAGGTATCTAGCAAAGTTGATATTAGAACTAAAATATAAAGCTTGTATGCTTTAGGTTTCCATAGCAAGATTAGAATTACTATTACTATTTAGGGTATACTATAGATTTAATTGTAAACGTATATTTATATATAATGAAATAGACTCGATAAAAATAGGGGATAATAAACTGATTTAAGATTAATTGAATAACCTCTATAGCTACTGTTTTACTATTAATTATTAAAGATACTTTATATATAAAGTTACTACTTAAATAAGCGAATAGTATAGCAATTATAAAAGTAGTTAAACATGTACTTAATACAACTTTACTATTAATATAATAAGCTATAAGTAAAAAAAAGTAAAAGATAAAGCTATAGAGTGTAAACCTAACCGTATTTTCTTATTAATTGTATTAAAATTACCTAACTTTTTAATAAGGGGTTTATTAGTAGTACTTCTATATTCTATCAGTAGCTTAATAAATATAATGTTAAAATGCCTTAATTAGTTACTTTATTATTAAGAGGTAAATTATCGGGTTGTGCTGTTTTAAAGTTATATAATAACAACAAATATAATCTTAATAAAGAGATAAAACGCCTAGAAGAAGATTTTTAAAAATTTTATAGAAAATCAAGATTTTACTAATAAAATAAAAGAAAGGGAATTAGACGTTGCGGATTAAGGTAAAATTACTAAACTTACAAAATTTATTAAGACGGGCTAAAAAAAGATAATTTTGTCGCTAGGTTAGACTAATAAATAGATTAGGCTAGTTATAATAACAAAGATATTAAGAAAAAATATTTAGAAAAAGTAGTTAATAGTGCAAAAGAGGATTTAGAATCTTTAGAAACAATACATTTTAAATTAGGGGATAAGGAAGCTAGGAGATTAGCTAAAAATTTAATAAAAAATTTAGAAGCTTAATAGAACAAATCGTTAGAATTAATAGAAAAGTTAGATAAAACTTATACCTATATTGCTACTAAATAATACTTCTTCTGAATTCTTACCTTAAAACTTATTAGACGTATACCCTACTAATTTTAACTCCTTCGACCCTTTTAAATATTAGTCTTTTAACAATAAAAAAATATTTTTAGTTACCTTAATTTTTAATAAGAGTTATATAATTAAGACTTCTAAATTGTATAAGAAGTATAACTCTTTTTATATAATAGTATATATAGTTATTTTTTATCTTTAGCTTCTATATTTTCCTTAGTTCTGAATAAAAAAGTATATTTTTTTACATTATAAACTAGTATTAAGCGCTCGGGTTAATGCTAGGGTTAACAAGTTCAATAATATAACTTTAAATTTTGATTATACAGACTTGCCTTTGGAATAACAATAGTCTATTTAGGATGTTATTTCTAAGTATCCTTTCGTAATTATACCTTCTATAATAGGAATTACTATAGTTATAGTAGTATTTATTAGATTATTTAACGTTTCTGCAGAAGAATACAGGCAATATCATAATCCGATAATTAGAACTTTTAAGCTAGAATAGATAAATTGTAATAATATATCGGTTGAAAGGAGTTTCGAGAATCTTTATTAAATCTAAGAACTGTCTTTTTCTAATTTGAATTCAGAGGAATTATCTGATTTCTTTTTATAACTATATATTCCTACTAATAATAAAAATACTAAAAAAGGAAAAAAATTAATTTATTATAAACACTCTTTCTTATAGGTATATTTGGCTGTATATTAAATAGAAAAAATATTATTCTAATGCTTATTTTGATTAAAATCATGTTACTAGCAATTAAATTTTGAATACTACTTATATTATTCAATTTTAATAATATATTAAGTTAAATTTATTCTATATATATAATTGCAATTGCAGGTATAGAGTCTGCAATAGAATTAGGTATATTAGTTGCATTTTATAGGTTAAAGAGGAAGTGTAGCTATAGAATATAAATAATGTACTTAGTTTTAACATTATTGCCTTTATTAGGTTTAATTACTTCTAGTTTTTCTAGTAGAAAAGTAGGTATAAAAGGGTCTCATTTAATTATATATAGTTGTGTTATAGTTACAACTACACTTTTTATACTTAGTCTTTTAGAGGTAGGTATTTATAATCTATTAGTATATGTTAGTCTATTTAAATAAATAGACTTAGAATCTCTTTATATATTATAAGGCTTTAACTTTAATTCTTTAACAGTATTAATGTTAATACCTGTTCTTATTGTTTCTTCCCTAGTATATATATATATTCAATAGGATATATAAGTAATAACCCTTACAATCAAAGATTCTTTAGTTATTTAGGTTTATTTACTTTTATAATAATTATACTTGTTACCTTAAATAATTTTTTATTAATGTTTGTAGGATAAGAAGGAGTAGGTATATATTCTTATTTACTAGTAAGTTTTTAATATACTAGAATACCTGCAAATTAAAGCTCTTTATCCGTGTTCTTAACTAATAGAGTTAGAGATTGTTTTTTAATAATAGGTATATTTGCTGTTTTGTAATCTTTTAGTAATATAGACTACTCTATAGTATTTTCTTTAGCACCTTTAATATCAAATAGTAGAATAACTTTAATAGGTATATGTTTATTAATAGGTGCGATAGCTAAAAGTTAACAAATAGGTCTTTATATTTAATTACCTATAGCTATAGAAGGACCTATACCTGTTTCTGCTTTAATATATATAGCTACTATAGTTATAGCGGGAGTTTACTGATTAATGCGCTAATAAGTCTAGGGAAGCAGAAGGCTAAGCCCTAAAGGCGAGCGCGAAATAATAGTCTACGTAAGCTATTAATACCCTCTACGCAACTTATACTAAAAGGGCTTATTAATAAGCGTATAACGATCTACGCAAGCTATTAGTACCCTCTACGTAACTTATACTAAAAGGGCTTGTAAATAAGCGAGCTATATACTAGCTATAAGCGATTGTAACTATAAGCGGTATACCGCTTATATTCGCGCTCTATGCTTATAGCTCTCTCTTACTAAGCTTAATCCCTTTAAAGTATACTCTAATACTCTACTTCTACGAATCTTCTACTCGTCTAAGTCCTACTTATATCTACTTTATTACTATAATCCTCCTACTAACCTACTTCTTACTCGGTACCCTATATGTCCGCTATCTCTATGTCCTATAAAGGCATTGCTTCCTAAGTGCCTATTATATCCTGCTACTATTCCTAGTTGTCGTACGTAGCGGCCTATTACGTTATTATTACCTCGTATATTATTTCCTCTTAAGTATTACAATCCTCGAAACGAGTAAAGACGTTAATACTATAACGGAAGTATAAGCTAACGCTATCTACTAAAGCTAGTCTGTATTCGAATTTATAATTAAGCTAATACTACGGGTACTAGTCTAAGAAGCGACGGGCTAGTTAAGCAATATTAAGAACTTCGCCTAGCTATAGCAAAGCATACTATATATAGCGCGATATATAATCTTAAGGAGCAATAGGGTTTGTCTAGCTAGTCTGCTATCGCTATAGCTATCGTGCCCGCTATACTTACTAACGGTTCGCTATAACTCGCTAGAGGAAATCCGTATTTACTAGATTAGTTATAGGTAGCTATAAGGTAGGAGGGCTATATACTAGGTAGATAGTACCTATAGGCTACTATTAAGTAGATTAGTCTTCCTATCCTAGCTAATCTTGCTAGGTAGGCTCCTAAATAGTATACAGAGGTGCCTACTAAGGAAACTTCTCCTTAAACTTCTTAACTAAAGTCTAGACTAAGCGTATATAGACACTGCTATATCTTAGCGGCTAACGATAATTATAAGGTTTAGGCGCAGCCTATATAGAGTTAAGAGCAATCTAATTTAAGTTAAATAGTAGTTAGGGATCCTACTTAAGAATCTTCTTTATCTACTTAGCGCGGGAAATAGCTTAAAGATTCTTTCACAATTAAGCTCGCTTTTATTCTTATCGCTATTAAAGCTAAGCCTCTTACTAACGACGTAACTATTCTTGTCTGTCTTGCTAACGACGTAGCTGCTCTTATCGCTTCTTTTATATATCCTATCGATTATTTCGAGAAGGGGCCTACGGTACTAGATTAGGAGCTTCCGACGATAGTATATATCTAGCGGATAGTATACGCTAAGGTCGACGACGAATGTAATCGTTATATCGAGTAATAACTAACTACTAAACTTTGCTTTGCTTAAAGCGCTTATAAAAGTCGAATAGCCCTTTAAACATTAAGTTAGTAAGCTTGCGAGCCCTAGAAATAGCTATATATAATAGGCTAGGTATAAAGTCCTTCTTAGAGATATTAAGAACAACTTTGTCTAGTATTATACCCTAAGACCTATAGACTCTAATAGTATAGGCAATAGTTATCGGGAACTATATACGAATATAGCGTATATCCTATCGCTAGTTATATAGCTACTTATAGCGGACCGTTATAATAGGTACGACGTCGGGAGGTAGGCTATACTTATTATTTAGATCGTATTAATTATTAAGTGTCGGACTAGTATAATTGTCGAAATATACAAGTACGACTATTAGAATACGCGTAACGATGTCTATATGTTTATCGCCGTTATCCTCCTAGATAA